TATATATATATATATAATTGGCTTTTGCAAAATTGGATTATATCCGTATCATCATTTAGTTCACAAACACCTATCTTGTAAAATATATTCCATTATATATATATATATAATTGGCATTTTCAGCTGAAGGAAAGCATGACTGGTGTGATGTAGGAGTGCTAAGCTATGAGACTGAAAAGAAGTTGTTCGTTGTTCAAAAAACAAAACCTAGAGAGCAAGTTATTAACAAGGGTACAATTTTTTTTACAACATAGTAGGGTTGATATGGATATGCAAAATTCAAGGCAATTACCAATATACGTGAGAACATTCATTCTAAATTTTTAGCATTATAATTTAACTTCCAAGTTTTAAAACAAGAATTTTCGTTTTTATATCAATTCTATATATTTAAACTCGCACTATATATTACTGCTAGGTGAATTATGTCCTCAAATCTGAGTTGAAACCCATGCTTACATGTGATAATGATTTCATGTTTACATATTCTATATTTTTACATATATGATTTCAGCTGCAACTAAATGTCTGGTTCCCAGGATTAGGCTCATGTTTGCAGCAGAAGATCCGTCTGTGTTTGCCCAGAGGGTTGCTCATGCTGTCAAGGCCAGGCAGGAAACTGAAGCACTGTTGAGGTGAGGCATTAAGGATATTATACCCAGTTGTTACCATTTTCATGGCTATACCTCACTAGTGTTCAGTTTTATACATTACAATATACTTTACACTGTACGTGTACTTTTAAGTTTTAGCAGTTTCCTTACTTATCATTCACTGCTGTGTGGTTTTATAGTTCGTTGGTTATAATATCACCGTTCACAATAATTAAATTAGGTAGTATTGTGAAGATCATTTATCTTCATGAAAACATGGAATTTGGCATGATTTAATGTTACAAAACACATGATAACGAAAATGGTGAAGTGTGCTGCTAGCTTAAGGTGCTGTATTATAATCAAATTTACGTTGCTTTCCCAAGTAGTTCCAGATAGAATGGAGATACAATAATTCGATATATCGAAAAATTAGATATATTTTTTATGATGATGCTAAACTTTGAACGTGCATTAGGCGTTCGTGAAGCTTAAATCTAATTTTCTATAATTACTTTCTTTTTCCTATAATTATTTTAGATATAATCTTTACATCGACTGCATGCCTACAGACCGTGCGCTAAAGCTGAATGAGGAGATCACACACAGCATAGTTTGCAGGGCTACTGGTGTTTTACAGCTGTCCAAAGATACAAGGTAATGTAGAATCTCATCACTACAGACAAATCTGACATCCCTGTGGAGGTTCACTGATTGACTGCATATGAATACAGATCTGTGATATGATAATAGCTCGTTTGTTGTATGTCTCACTCTAGCCTTGAGCCATGTATTGAAAGCCTTAAACAGGAGATAAATCTAGATCACCAGCGAGCAATGAACGAAATCAGTTTTGACCACACCGTTCGAAGCATGCCGAAGTTGTTTCCCTTTGTCACATTGCCTCGCAAGACTAAACCAGCTGCTCCTCAAACAGGTGACTCGATCAGATGTCATTAATGATCAAATATCTGTTATACTTATTATTGACATCTTAGTTTCATCCATACACATTTGTGAAAGTAGCTTACACGTACTGATCGGCGTGGCCATTACCGAGTAAGCGTTATGCACAAAGTGAATCGCTATCGAGAGTATATATCTAGCTCCTATCTATTTTATCCGCAGGCTGTGTTGAGACGTCAGCCAGTTGTGCTGAGATCAAATGTAAGAAGCAAAACTTTATCGTTAAATCGCTGCTGCTGTCCGCCGAGGTCATTGAAGCGTTGGGCAAGGTGAGAGCTGAGTGCAACAAGGTGAGGGCCATGTCTCTCCTACACAGTCAACTCAGCAAGACTATGCGGCTGGAAGAGTTTGAGCAGGCACAGAGCACGCAGACACTGCAGGTACTTCCTTTCGATGGTTACAGTACAGGTGAAATGGTCTATAACATTTTTTTTTCGTTTGTGTCCTGCAATCCTGTTTGTATATGGTATCTACAAATTAAGTGATATGTACAATGTCAATGTTCTGTGTCGACAAAGTAAGTAAATTATATGTTAGGTTAATTGGTGCGTTAACACCTTGGCAGTTGAAGTGGTGAAGCAAGTTACCTTTTCACGTCTCATATTTAGGTATAGCTAGGTCACAAAGATTCCTGGCCTTGAGAGTTTTACAGTATTAAGTAGCGTGTCGATCACTCTTGGTAATTCTGGTGACAATCTTGAACTTGGTAATGGTTTTTGTAGGCAGGCCTCATAAAGACATTCATTCCATAGTCTGTCTCCAATAATCTGTATTATGGACTTATTCAGGACGATCATAAGAATTCAGTAAGAAATACCAAGATCGATTTACCCATCGGATTTCCTAGAGTTTTTCCTGATATTTGAGCCGTGCTCATCATGTTACGTGATATTACAGATTTGCATTATTTCAACCCATAGGTGGAGACAGCACCTAATGTAATAGGTAGGGCTGTGGTCATTCTGTTCTGGTATAATATATACCACCAACACATGCCATGTGCTCTCTCTCTCTCTCTCTCTCTCTCTCTCTCTCTCTCTCTCTCTCGTGTATTTTTGTCTTTTCGTGTCCTTTTTGTATATAACATAACACATCACACAGGTGTCGATGTTCCTGCGGGATCAATGGGTGACAACTCTGAAGCACGCTGTCACTAATAGCCTGCAGGAAGCAGGCAAGGGCTGGTACAATCTACAGGAGACCAACTGGGAAGTGTACCTGATGTCAAAAATCTGCAAGTTCATGGTGATGGTGAAGTTCTGCATGCAGGACACTCTCAGGTATGCCAAGAAAGACTAGTTTTAAAGATAGTACTACACGTGAGACCTGTTCTCGATACTAGCCTACACGTGAGATCAGCTTTTGACATAAGGTCACACATGAACCCAACTCTCGACACTAGTTTACACGTGTGGACAAGGTCACAGGTGAGGAACAGCTTTTGAGATATGGTCATCTATGAGGAACAGCTTTTGAGACGTGGTCATCCGTGAAACCAGTTTATGAGGCAAGCTCACGCATGAGACTTGGTTTTGGGACAAGGTTACTGTTGTGACCTGCGCTTAGGACCAGGTCACGGAGGAGCTCAGTAGATTTGTTCTAGCTACTTTCCACTCTAATAATATTTTTAGTGAAAAACTATAGTGTTGTATTCGTACTTTGACATATTTTGTCCTAAAACGAGTTAAGAAAGAGCATTGCAAAAGATTGTGAAATAGGTTTAGCAAAACTAGTACCATATCTTGCTAGTAATACATAATGTGTTCACTCTACTACAGATATTTAGTTCAGGATTCACTCCATGGCTTAGTGCAGCAGGTACTTGAAACCTGCAGTCCTATCTGGGATTGTCAGAAAGGCATGCAGTGGAGTGGGAGCGTCATTAACAGCCCATACAGGTGAGTGAGTGATCGTGAGCAGCCTCTAAACCGCTCTTCATACAATCTGTAGTAGATAAATAGATATCTATGATCCACTCTTGATAAAATGCAGAAACACAGTCCACCACAGGACAACTCTATATGTAACATCTGTCATAGGACATCTCTCTATCTCACGTCTGTCGCAGGATAACTCTATATGTAACATCTGTCATAGGACATCTCTCTATCTCACGTCTGTCGCAGGATAACTCTATATGTAACATCTGTCATAGGACATCTCTCTATCTCACGTCTGTCGCAGGATAACTATATATGTAACATCTGTCATAGGACATCTCTCTATCACACGTCTGTCGCAGGGTAACTATATATGTAACATCTGTCATAGGACATCTCTCTATCACACGTCTGTCGCAGGATAACTATATATGTAACATCTGTCATAGGACATCTCTCTATCTCAC